AGATGTGGTAGCTTCTTCTTCTGTCGCTGTGTAACTATTTCCTGCGATATCGAAACATTATATCCTACAGGGAAGCTCCTTAAGCAGGAAGGTAAACAACTCAAAATAGCTTCAGGAAGTCCCTGAAAGTGACCAGATTCACTAGGCCCCTCCCTGCCAGAGTAAGCAATAAAAGCTCAGAGTCCATCTCAGAAGAGCACAGCTGAGCTGCAAAAGACTCTTGAGACCAGACGCGTGCCTGGTAAAAAGCAGAAACCAGCAGAGCTTCCTGGAAGAGGTTTATGTCAGAGTCACTTAGAAAGGACACTTCCAAGCTACTGAGTTGTGGGCAGGTTATGCATTATGCTCCAGGTTCCCATCTTTGTGATCTTTGGTGATGTATCTGCCTTTGAGTTATTTCTGCTTCTATCTGGGGTGAGTAGACATGTGTGTTGCGTCTCCCCGGGAGAGTAGCTTTTTGTGGCATTCTACCTGTGTCAACCATCTTTGTGCACTATAGCACACACAAGACAATCAGTTTATGATGATGATAGGTTTACTTTGGCTCCTAGTTTCATTGGTTGGCCTCACTGTGTGAACAGAGAAAGAAGGGATTGGGGTTGGTTCTGTAGTCCGCTTCAGGGGCACATTCTCAGCCATCCACCACTTTTTACTTGACTCAGTCTCTTAATGGCACCACACTGAGGATCCAGAATGTACCAGATGGTCCTTTGTGGGACAATCAGGGTCTAAACAATACTACTGATTATAAAACCCTTCCATGACTTCCAGTGGTGCCTGGATAACCACCAGGTCCTATCCAATGTGACCTTGATTTTGTCTCAGAATTCATTCTCCCAAATATTCATTCAAATATGTGGGTGTTCTTCCCTGTCCCTCGACTTCCCAAGCTTATTCCTGACTCAGGCCTCCTATGTTCCCAGAAGTGCTTCCCATCATATCAGTCTCACCCCATAGTTATCTTCCCTGAGAAATCATCCCCAAGGACCACACCCTTCTTTCTTTCCTGCTCACTAGTGCTCTGTTCTTTCCTTTTCACAGAAGCCCTGTGATATTCTTTCTCGCTTGAGGATGGTGTTGGACCACTCATCTGACTGCGGTCTGATTAGGGCTCTTCTGGAGTGGGAATGAGTAATATGGTTGGGCGGGCAGTATTGCCATGAGAACAAGGGAAAAGCAGAAGAGCAGGCCTTTAGAACTGAAGGTAGTTTGTGTGCCTAGGGGCCGCCCCCCCAAAGGCCTTTGCTTCTTCCTGCCTTTCATACCCACTTGTCTGTTTCCTTTGTGGCTGCCTTTACCTTAGTAGTACTCTAATGATGTCACTATGAGTAAAGTTATGTTTGGCAACAATGTGTTCTCTTGCTAGGGAAAAATGTTTGAAGCCCATGATGCTCTATTGCATAATCTGCTTGCTCAGAGCTCTGGCCCCTCCTAGCACATGTGGGCATCCCTCTCAAGCTACAGTGAGAGTGAAGCAGGCCAGGAACCAGAGAAGCAGGGAGTGGCTGGGGTTGTGGCAAACTAGAAACAGTGTGTCCTCTCCAAACTGGGAGAAAAGCACTGCAGAGCTGGTCATGTGGTCCTGCAGGCCCACAGTAAGGCTGATACCATGGTGCCCAGGTTCTTCATGGCAGGCTGAGAATCTGTAATATGAAGCTTTCTAGTTTAAGAAAATGGAACAGCATGGAGTTCAAATAATATGCGTCTAACTAGTCTAGCTTTAGACAGTCTGCAGCTTCTATAATCTGGAGTTCTGACAAAATCATGACCTTTCACCTTTTCCTCCTCCTCCCTTTCTCTCACTTTCTCTCTTTACTTCTAGTCCTGAAAAGGGAATATGTTTTACTCAATACATTTTGGAGCAGATGTGTCAAAGGACCACTCTATGGCTTGGCTGACCCTAAGTTAGGTTTCCACCCTTAGTCCTAAAAGGGCTGCCTAAGAGTTACCCTTTCATCTTTGGTCTGGTTTGGGCCAAGTTCCATTTTAGAGACTGGCATGGCAAACTCTGCAGAGATGTGCTGAATAAAGAACTAGCTAGTGCCCCACCAAGTGAGTGTTTAAATGGAATGGTCTGTGTTGAATGTACCCAACAAGACTGTGTTTCTTAGTTGGAAAGGCAGTGCTCACTGGATATATATATATATATGAGAATAGCATTAGAGAAGTCCTGATTTACCCCAAAATACTGGCTTCTCATTTTAAGAAGATTCTGTTTACAAAATTAGCAACACTAAGTTGGGTGTGGTGTTGATAGCCTGTAATCCCATCATTAAGGAGGTGGAGGAAGGGGAGGCTGGAGTTCAAGGTTATCCTAGGCTATAGGAGAGTTAAACACCATCCTGGACTTTGAGAGTGCTACCTCAACAAGCAAGCAAGCAAGCAAGCAAGCAAGCAAGCAAACAAACACAAATTTAAATTAGGAAAACTTCAGGCTAAACCTCTTTAAAATTTGCTCCCAATCATTGGATACTTTTTCATAGCCCCTCCCCTTCTCCTTCACTTCCAAGGAAGGCACTTTTTCCACTCATCGGTGAACAGTAATTAATTACTATCTCGCACCCCCCTCCCATTGCACAATGCCCTGCTCAGCAGAGGCAGTCAGTATGGAATGAATTCATTCGTGGATTTATTCCTCCAGTATATACCATAGACATACTATGTGCCTGGCACTTGTCTAGGAACTTGGACAGTATCTATCAATGAGTAACAGGAATGGTTTCTATATGTAGATAGGAGGGAGAGGGCGATTAAATTTAGGAAAATTAATTGAAGTAATACATAATATTTTACAAGGTAATGGGTGCTAAAGGGGGAAAGGAGTGAAGTGAAGGACATTGAGAAGAAGGAATACATTGAAATTTTATTTTATTTTGAGACAGAATTTCCTTGCACAGCTTAGGCTGACCTGCAACTTCAGAATCTCTGGCTGCTGCTTCCTAGTGCTGTGTTTACAGGCAGATGGAATAAAGTAGGTCTCCTTGAACAAAGAGCTGTAGGGGAGGAGCCCTGGAAAGGGAAATGCCTGGGCTCAAGGCTATCCTTTCCCTACTGTAGGATAACAGTAATAACAGCATTCTGTCTTGTGAGTTCCTGTAGAATTCTATGTACTTCCTCAGTGTGAACTCCTTAAATCCTTATCAATGACCCTGAGGTACCTATTATTTTATTCCCATTTCAAAGGAGTAAACTGAGGCCTAGCTCTCCAGTAAGGGGATAATATCCTGAGGCTAAGGAGGTGGTGGTGAATATACCCTGCCTTGTAGCAGCAGGCTTTTTGGCTTTCTCCTTTTCCTCTTGTTTGTTTTTCCTCTTTCTCCTACTTTTTCTTTTTTCCTGCCTTGTTTTGTTTTTCAAGCCAGGTTTCTCTGTGTAGCTTTAGAGCCAGTCCTGGAACTAGCTCTTGTAGACCAGGCTGGTCTCGAACTCACAGAGATCCATCTGCCTCTGCCTCCTAAGTGCTGGGACTAAAGACGTGTGCCACCACAGCTCAACTCCATGTAGCCTTGAAAGGCAGACCATGCCGACTTTGAACTTGCAGAGATCCAGTTCCCAAGTGCTGGCCACCATGTTGGCCAGGTCAGCTTTTGATTCTTGATCACTTTCCAGCTCCCCCCAGGCTTTCTGCCTCCTGCACTATGCTGTGCACCCTTTTGAGCCATAAAAGAGAATCTTAGAGTGAGATTTAAGGGCCTTCTGTCATCTTGGGGGTTCTTTCCAGAATCCTTTAGATTTCTCTAATGTCCCTGGAGCTCATAGATTCTTCCACACTCAAAGCTTAATGCAAAGGCTTCATAAGGTTACAGTGACCAAAACAAACTTATATTTAGTTTTAGCCAAAAAAGGGCACATACATCTTTTCCTTCATCAAATGTCACTGTGGTTTTAAAGTTTACATGTTAATATGAGGTTGGACAGTGCTTTTAAAAGTAGTTCCTGCTCAACCACAGGGTAAAATTATGCAAGCAGAGAGTCCTGCAAACAGCTGCATAAAAGGATTTTTTTTTTTTTTTTGAGACTAAGGTTTATATAATACAGGGTGGACTGGAACTCATTGTGTAAAGCACAATGTCCTAAGCTCTTGGTCTTCCTATCTCTACCTCCAAAGTGCTAAAGTGGTTCTCAACCTTCCTAATGCTGTCACCCTTTAATACAGTTCCTCATGCTGTGGTGACCCCCAACCATAAAATCATTTCCTTGCTACTTTATAACTGCAATTTTGCTACTGTTATGAATCATAATGTAAATCTGATATGTGACCCCAGAGGGGTCGTGACACAGGTTGAGTGCTGCTGTGCTAAGATCACCTCCACCACCAGCTCAAATTCTTAGCACCTACCAAACAGCAACAACAACAACAAAATAAAAATAATTTTTACATTTTTTTAAAGCTTTCGAATTGGTTGTTTTTCTGTGGTTTCAATTCTGAAGACCTGTCGTGTTCGTGAAACCTTTGCCTGGAAAGAGAATCCCAGCTCTTTAAAGTTGTTTTGCAACACCAAGGAAGAGAGGCAAACAAGTGTGGAATCGGTTTGAGAACCTTGCTTTTAAAACACATTTCGCGCGTGCGCGCCCCAATGCAACAACAAAACACCTCTCAGCCTCAGGAATGTTCTGCAGATCTTCGCTGTTTTAACTAATGACCCAAAACACCTCTGGGCTCCTGGGCAGTTTCTCCTTGTGGGATTTGGCCGTGGGGGGCCAACCTCCTCTTGGGCGAGGTTAAGGTGTCTAGGAATTCCCTTGACTTGCAGCATCCTCCCCTGATTTTAAGACCACGAGCTTGGATTTCCTGAGACTGTTGAAGTGGATTTAAGCGCGGGGTCCCCCGCCTCCCCTTGGTGCTGGAGAGGAGGCGTGGGACGGGGTGAAGTGAGGCGGGGGTGTTGGAGAGAAACTAAAGCGATGTGCACCGGACAGGAAAAGTGGGAGGAGGAGGGGGAGGAGAGGAGGCGGCCGTAAGTTGAGAGAGGAGGGAAACAGTCAACAGCCACCTACTCGGGAGAGGAGCCCGGGCTGGACGCGACTAGGCTAAGGGCAGAGCTGGGAGAGGACCCAAGGAGGGAGAGCGAAGTGAGAACCATCCAGATCGCTTGTTTATCTACAGCGAGAAAACTTTGCCTGGAACGCCGGAAACTTTTTTCCTGCGCGCGCAGTGTCTGGGACGGAGGCGAGCAGCGGCTGTGCGCGGCTCGGCTCCGGTGACTCACGCCGGGGACCCCAAGTGGGTGAGTGGGGAAGTCCCTGGAGGGCCTGGAGTCATCCATTCTGCAACTTCACAGGCTTGGAAAAGAACTCGGCGGGCGTGATCTGGGGGTGGGAGTGTGGGCAATGGGACAGAGTCTGAGAGGAGGCTCCGCGTGGTTAAAGAGCCTTCACTTTGGATGCTGAGATCGGGGAGGTAGATCACCAAGAAGTGGGTAGGAAAGGGGCAGGCCACCCACCCTTAGCGTAGTGGGTCACGGTGGGCGAGGAAGCGTTGTGAATGACTCTGCGGGGGGGGGGCGGGATGCTGCTGATCGTGGGTCCCATAACCAGCTAGGAGGCTGTTTCATCCTCCCACAGCCTGAGGGGCATATCTACAGAGCCATGGGTGCTCAGGGGACGACTCAGATGCGAAACCAAACCTCACAGCCGTCCCCTTCTTTCCTGGAGGGAGGCGTGGGAGCCAAGGCAGCACAAGGCGGCTTCTTGGTTTCCGTGCGCTGGGCAGGCCATTGTAACTAGGGAACAGCTCGCGGGAGACCTGGCCCCTGGTGGCGGGAAGCACCGGACTGCCCGCTGCATAGCGCTGGGCATCCGTGGTGTCCCCTTTCCGCTTCATCTTTCGCGCCCGCGGGGCGTTGGGCCGGGATTTCCTCCACGCGCCTCGTGTGCGCACTGCGCGTTTTTGCGCGCAGGGGGCGCTGTGGGACCCGCGCCTCGCGACTCTCGGTTCCCTCGCGCCCAGTCTTCCCTGGACTGTGACGCGGACCAGGTGTACTTGTGAAGTGTCCTTTATGAATAGATTCTAGGGTGCTACCTTTGGGCAATAGGGGTTTCCCCGATTTCTACTCTCGCTCTGCGGGGGATCACATGCCACCGCCGCCTCTTCCTCCGGGGTGCCAAAAGCCCGCGTTTTGCTTGTCAGCAGTAAAGTGGAGAGTATTTATAGACGCCACTGCAATCCTGCGGTGTGCAAGGTTTCAATTACAGCGCCGCGTCGCGCCCCACAAGACGAGATGCTTACGCGCGTCGGCTCAGCTACAAGTCTGCTGCGGAGACCCGCGTGGAAAAAAATCTCCAGGCATCCAAAACTTTTAGTTTTGGAATCCTTGCCCAGGCGACACATGTAAATTCAGAAACCCATGTTAAGGACCACAGCAGTCCGGGACAAGCCAGTTTCATCCTGTCAGCCTCTTTCTACTACCCCTCTGCCATCTTCCAGCATGGCATCAATCAGACTTCGAGACTGTGCATTTGACCATCTTATTAGTGATCTTGACAACGTAAGGTTTAGAGTAATAGTATTTCTTGCCCCCATATACGCAAAATGTCATTGTTAATTCTGCTAAATTGCTCTGGAGATAGAGGCGCTGTTACTAATGACACCAAGCTGCAAAAGAATCAGGATAGAAATGAAGTTTATGGAAATCAATTCAGCCACATTTTAAAATTAGCCCCTAGTGAGGTTCCTTATACACCTGAAGAGAGTACGATGGTTTGCCAGGCAGAACCGGGCGAGGGAGTCCTCTCATTACAGTACTGAGGTCCAGAATGGACTAATGTGCCTGTGGAGGGTGGCTTTTGTAGCATGTTTCCTTCCACAGAAGGCAAGCAAGGGTTGGCCAGGCTACCCAGCTGTCTTTTTGTTTTTCCACTCCCACCCATTGCTCTAGTTTTTTAAACGCACTTCTAACAGCTGGAGCCATTAATGTGTAAAAGAAAACAGGTAGTAGAAATAAGCCTGTTCTTATTATATAGTTCTAACCCGGGTCCAGCTGGTTTCTGAGCATTGGAGCTCATCTCTTTCAGATCTCTGGAGGGGCATGGGTATGTATTTGTTTCAATAGGTATGGTTTTAGTTAGCAGTTATCTTTAATGTTGAAACAGTAAGAAAAACCTGCTTCTGAAAACGGGAAATTGTAAACACCTCTTTATACAATGTACAAAGTGTTTACAATAACACTTTGCACCCAGCCTGGTAATGGTACATCCCCACCAAAACAGTGGAGCACCGCTGCATGCCCATTGAATAGGTGAGCACACTGAGGCTCAGAGAATATAAGTAGTCTGTCTTAGTCTGCATGCACAGGGGATGGAGCTCAGAATAGATTGCCATTCTAGGTTTGGAGGCTGCAGATGTCTTCCCCTTCTGAGGGATTCCCCAGATGTTCACTGGGTGATTGTATAGCTGATTACATTTTTGTATGTGTGTATGTGTGTGTGTGCTGTGTGTGTGTTATGTCTGTATGCACATGCATATGTGTGTGTGTAGAGGCCAGAGGTCAACATTGCTGTCTTCTTCAGTGGATTTCCATTTTATTTTTTGAGTCAGGGTCTCTCACTGATTCTGCTAATTGGCTGCCTAATGAGTCTCTGGGTCTTCCTTGCTTTCCACGGCTGTCCCAGGGCAGGGATTACAGCAAGCTTTCAGGTCTGGCTTTTACTGAGTTCTGAGAATCCAGTTTGGGTCCTCATGCTTCTGTGGCAGGCACTTTACCAATGGAACTGTTTCCCTAGCCCACATGCTGTGTTGTTTTTTACAAGTGGCATAGAACACACAATTACTGAAAAAGCCCTTCATCTTGTCTTAGAATACCAATGCAGTGTCCGCCTGAGAACTTCACACCGAGACAACTTCCCTGCATGTTCTAGCTTCAGCTTACTCATTAACTTAGTGTATGTCCAACATTTAATCTCCTCATCTGGAGAAGGAGCAAACCTTGTGATCCTTCAACTCTGTTCACATTCCTCTGTCCTGTTGATACAGTGTCTGTTCCTGTTATACAACCCTTGTACCAGGTAAAACAAATGCAAAATCTTTGAATTGCAGACTTTCTCTCTCTAGTTCTTTTTGCAGAACCAGACCAGCATAGGATTGATTTTGAGAACTAGCAGGTGAGTCTCTGTGACGGAGCTCTTACAATGCTGTCAGGGCTTGGTCTGTAGAGCTACCTGCCTCTATGCAGACTGTAAATATGTTACAGTCAGTGCTTATAGATAATGTCCATTTACTTACACAGCAGAGGGAACTAATACCTCTGTTACTGAAATATGAAGGGAAGATATTTTGTGTACTTTGTCCAGGATTTAGGGTTCAGAATTTGGAAACAGTGGTATCCTAGTAAGCAGAAGGCATTTTTTTTTTTTTTATAAGGGAAGATTCTGCATTAGAATCAAGAAGGGGACTGGGGACACAGATGACACAAGACAATGACAAGCCTTCAGAGATCAACTTGAGATAATTCACATTTTGGCAGACTCCCAAGTTCTCAAGATGGTTGTAGTGGTTTATGTGGTAGTTTCTGAATCAGGAGTCAGTGTTTCTGCTACATGGGGAATCTACAATGGAGAAAAAGGAGGTCATGGGACTCAAAGGTCTCAAGGGATAGTTCCATGGAAGGAAAGGAATATAGAGTGAATATAGAGAACTATTCTATATTAGTTTGGGAAGCAGTGGGCCTAGCTCACACAGCCAAATGAGACTTGGTGAATGACATGCTGGATGCAGTTCTCAGAGGGGGAGCAGTGGGAAAGTAAGTCCCCCACATCCTGGGAATGCCTTTTGTTCTATGCCAGCTTATAGGCCATAGATGTAAGGGAGCCCGTGAGACCTGTTTCCATTTTAATTGGCCTTGGCCCTTTGAGGTAACAGTCACTCAATCTCTCTTTAAATATTCTTTTCTTATGCTTTGCCAGTTTATAGCCTTTGTAGATCAATGCTTGGGTTTCATTTAGGAGAAAGAGAAAGAGGGGGAAAAAAGCCCAGAGGTTAGTGATTACCAAATTGGATTAAGTTCTGTCTAGCAGCATTTAAAGAAATGCTGCCTGCTCTCTAATTACCATTAACTAGGAATTTAAACACTCTATTAAATTGAAGGTGGCTTTAAGAAAAACACAAAAAGCCTTGCAGTATTTTTAGCTGTAACATATTCTAGAATTTTAGAAACTTTTTATAAAGTGTATAAATGTATAGAGGTACTCGGGATATATGTGTATCTCTCTATCCAGGTCTTACATTTCCATAGCAGGTAATGCATGGCATTCTAAAAATGAGAAGTTCATGGCCAAGTTTAGCTGATCGAAGCAGCCTCTGGAGAACCCAGTTCACTGAGGTAGCCTAGAAGGGTATTGAAGAATGATGAACTCTCCAGATGGCTTTTCCTCTTTTGACTGTGGTCTATGGGAGGACCTGGCAAACACTTTGACTTGCTGTTGTCCAGCATAATTACATGTGCAATATACTCTGCGTGTAATTATGTGTTACATCCAATTGTGTATTTTCTCATGCCTTTCTCTGTGCTCTCATGCTCCCTTCTTGGTTCTAAGGTGTCAGTAGAAGAATCTCACAGATATCATGCTCAGGTTTACTCTCGCTCTTCAGCAATGCCTCCTGTTTCTCACTCTTCTTATTTTACAGAGCTTTTTCCAACCTTGTCAGTGCTTTTGACACTGGCTGAGTTCTGGATTTGTGAAGGGAGAATTTGAGGATTAAGGAAAGGACTATGTTGGGTGCCTTTGTCTGTTTGGAGCCCTGGGTGGGATATTTGTCAGTTTAAGCAGAGCCTGGAACAGCAGCAGTCTCCTTGCTCAGAACTGGTACACAAACTTATCTCTGGCTCTGAAATGTGTATTCGCCTGCTTTAAGCGGCCTCAGACCCTGTCACAACCTGCCTCTGACCTCAGCAGCATCGCTCCTCAGGGTAAACCCTTTCATACTTGCTGTTGAGTGCTTCATAAATCCTTTGGAAGTGACTCATCCTTTCCCCGGATGTCTCCGGGAGACCAAGTCAACTTCTGTAGTCATTTGGAGAACTCTGAAGATCAGGCAGCTGTCTCTCTGCTCCCCTCATGGAGCCCTTTGGCTATTTTCCTTGTGATGTTTGCAGGCAAAACTAGTGAGTGGACTTGGTAATTCTGGTGTTTGAAATGATTACAAAACAAAACAAAACCCTTCACCTGTTAGAACCCCGAAAACTCAAGTATCGGGGGTCCCAGGCCACGTTCGCGGTCACCCCAATCACCA